AGACATTTTCCCATGTCCTTAATTTGGCTCAATTCAGTGTTTATAATAAGTAAGATAGAGCCGGATAGTGTTCTTGCTTTAGTATTAATGTGAGACTCTAACAAGAATGAAACCCAGCTTTGATGATGCCCATCGAATGATGGACGAAAGCTCAGCACGTTTACACCCGAAACGAGGGAGGAATACTCGTGGACTGCGTCAACATGAATATAACATAAAAGCTGAACGGCTGCAGTACAACGAATTTCATCCGTCCTCATCTGGTGAGATGGAAAAACGAATCTCTTCTTCATGTACTTTCATTCGAAATGAAGTTCCGCCTAACAATGATCACAGCAAACATAAACACTCCAGCTACAAGTGCCCCAATCTCGCTCAACTCACATGCTGGCCTTCAAGGTCGTTCTTTACATTGTTTTGAGTTACTTTGTTAGCGTGATCCAGTTGTACCTTAACACATGCAGAATAACAGATTGTAGCTGGTGAGAGTCTGGCAAAAGTACTATTAAATACGCCATAAATCCACCCGAAAGGAGGCATCGTACCGACAAAACAAACTGGTTCCTTTAAAGGTACCATGTCCGGACGTTGTTCTTGACACGTGGCGGGAGAATGAGCCTACGAGAGAATCGTCAGGTGTCCTGCAAGTACGTTCAAGTCGTGATTTGTACATCTCCTTTTGTTTTAAGACTCCTCTTTCAAATGGTCAGAAGCCAATCCATTTAAGCACTTTTGTGTCAATCAGGTCATCATTGGCGTGCACGCAAGATCTGGAAGTGCATTTCTTGCCTAAACCATTCATTTGATTGTTGTGGGCATATTTATTTTTGCTATTCTTCATTTCTCCAACAAGCACTTATGACGCGACTTTCAGCTCTCAGTGTTGTTTAACCGCTCTTAATGGACATTGCAACTTGACTCGTTTTCGTCTGGCCATCTCGATTGGCTAAACCAGTCCGACCACAATGTTGCACTAACGCGTGGATTTGAATTGGCCTTTCGTATCGATCGCAATAAACCAGACAGGGCCTGTTTTGATCTAAAGACGGCCCCGATCGATACAGGCCCTCCTTGTGCGCCCATATGGCTTGTGCAAAATAAAGGGAGACTGTCCAGAAGGCGCAGTCTCGGCCTGGGCCTGAAAGTGCCCGATCCACTTGTTCTGCTTCTCCGAGCCGGTTCTACACGATGTGGACCCGCTTTTGCACAGTCTGCCACCGGTACATTTGCCCCAATTACGTGGCCGAGTCATAACCTTTCGCCTCACCTATAGACTATGATTTGTGCTGTAGCACTTTCATCTACTCTCGACAGCCGGCTGAAAGGGATTAAAGAGACGTGATCCAGTGATCCCAATGATGATGTGGTGAGGACTTTTTTGCACAAAATCAC